AATTCAAGGCAAAGGGCACTGTTGAAACGCTACCTGGTCGTGGCAGAAAGAAGATGCTGACTTCGACTGCTGTGCGCTACAAGCGTAGAGTGGAGAGAAGTCCCCGTGTGACTGCTGAGGAACTGAGAAAAGATTTGTCAATGTGGGTACAGAAGTTTCAGCCCAGACAATAAGACGCACACTGCGTAATGAAGGCCTCCGTGCCAGAACTCCCAGGCGTACCCCCTTGCTGTCTCCAAAGAATAAGAAGAGTCGACTGCAGTATGCCAAAAGCCATGTGGACAAACCACAAAAGTTGTGGGATAGTGTTTCTGTGGACTGATGAAACAAATTAGAACTGTTTGGGCCCATGGATCAACGCTATGTTTGGAGGAGGAAGAACAAGGCCTATGATGAAAAGAACACTTGCCTACTGTGAAGCATGGTGGAGGGTCAATCATGCTTTGGGGCTGTTTTGCTTCTGCAGGTACAGGGAAGCTTCAGCGTGTGCAAGGTACCATGAATTCTCTTCAGTACCAGGAGATATTGGATGGAAACGTGATGCAGTCCGTCACACACTGAGGCTTGGGAGACGTTGGACCTTTCAACAGGACAATGATCCCAAGCATACCTCCAAGTCCACTAGAGCATGGTTGCAGAGGAAAGGCTGGAACATTTTGGAGTGGCCATCGCAGTCACCAGACTTAAATCCGATTGAGAACCTCTGGTGGGACTTAAAGAAAGCAGTTGCAGTGCGCAAGCCTAAGAATGTGACTGAACTGGAGGCCTTTGCCCATGAAGAATGGGCGAAGATACCCGTAGATCGCTGCAAGACACTCAAGCTATGCTTCACGTTTAAAAGCTGTTATAACTGTAAAAGGATGCTGTACTAAGTACAAGATTGAATGTCACTTGGGGGTTGAATAAAACTGATAATGCTGTGAGCACAGAAAAGACATTTGTGGTTATTTCATTATAACTGTTATGTTATATTTGTCTGACCTACAAGTGCCTCTTTAATGTAAATGTAAGCAAGATGACTGAATGATCAAAAGCAATGTCAAACTGGCCAAAACACTCAATTTCATGGGGTTGAATAATTTTGGCCACAACTGTATACTGTTCATCCTGAAGCAACATGCAGGCTGTGCTGGAGCAGGGGGTGTGTTCAAGAGCAAGCTGTGATTTGGGGAGTGTGTGTGTCAGAAGCAGGCTGTGATTGGTCAGGGGCATGGTGGCTGAACAAACTACCCAATACAGGCACGCTGTGTTTCTGCACAGTGTCCTGTACCTCTGAATGGCCAGCCAAAGGATTCAAACTGACCATGCAAGCATGGATCAGCTTGTGCGCTTTGCGTGGTCACTTTAGAACAAGGAAGGAATGTCACTGGCAGGCTCAACCAGGTACTTCAGTTGGAATAAGCACATGAAGATCATTATTTATAAAATACACATATGTGAATACACAGAGAGAAAACAAATAAACAAAACAAATAAATATTTAGGGTAACTTACAAGTGTTGCATTCCCTACCACTTAGCCTGGGCTGTCCCAGAAATTATTTTAGTTTATATAGCTTAAAGAAAACAAAGTGCACCACCCCATCTCTTTCAGATATAGTTAGATGCAGGCAGGAAAAGTTGTCACACTTTTGAAATTATTTTTGTTTTTTAGTTACCTGTCCAGTGTCAGCCCGGCCAAGGTGTCTTTTGCTAAGCTACCAAATTCCCTTCCCTTCTTCTCAGCTCCATAACATAGGATAACTTGTTTTGTAGCCGATAATAAAAACTAGGAGGAACAATTAGACTCCTTGAAATAACACAAAAAAAATGACATTTTACACAAAGAGTAAACATTTCTGACAGCTTTTTTTTTACCTATTTACCAGATATAACCAAATGTTTACAATGGTATACTTAAATCTAAACTTTAGTTAGAAAATTAAGTCCTGCTAGATCACTTCTGTTTAAAATCTGCATTCTTAGGTATTGCCAAATTTGGAGAGACTGATCTGTTGACAGCCTTAAAGTGGAATTAAACTGTCCTATCCTTTACAGCCAAGGAAGCTGCTTCTGTTTGATCTGCAACTGCCATGGTGCTGCACATGTGATCAGTTATAACACCAGACATTTGATGGTTTAACAGTTTGGTTAAGGGCACAAGCAAATGTGACAGTTAGCAATCCTGTCATTCCAGGAATATAACTGTTTTTTGAAACCTTTAAATAATTGGGTTTCATTCCAGTTTATGATTTACTGCTATTCAGGGGCTCTGGGCTTCGGCAAAATGACACCCTCCAACAAGAAGAAACAGGGCCATGCTGGAGGCAATTTACAGCACACACTCATTTCAATAGCATAATTAATAATGTGGAATGTATGTTCTTTGCTAAAGAACATTATTTTTTATCAAGTTGTTCCACTTTAAATTCAAACTTTAAAGTGTTGCAAAACCGACAACAGTAAAATCAGCCTGTATATGCAGTAATGCATGCTTGTTATGCTCACTTTGGAATCTAAGGGGTTAATGCTCTGCATTGTGTAAAAAGGCTGTTTGATCCTTTCTTCTCTGTTCCTCCCCTTTTTCAAATGACCACCTCTTATCTCCTGACTGAACCATAGGCATGCACATGCTCAGTTTAGTGTATATTGCTAGTGGTTTATTTTTTGTTCTTGGGTGAGTGCATGTGATTAGCACAGGGCCAATAAGCACTGTCCAGACAGAGGTCAGGGCATTTGCATCCTCCTAGATCAGAAAGAAAACTACTCCTACAAGCTTTAGCTACTGCTTGGCTGGACACTGATAGAAGTTACAAGACTGCTCTAACTGCTGATGAGAAAAGGTATTTAGCAGTTTGTATTTACTAAAGTAATTGCATTTCCATGTTCATGTGTTGACAAGAAGCATGCTGATAGTAGAAGAAAGCAGAGTGACAAATGGTTGAGTTATTGGTTGTGCAGTTCTCCTTTCACTGTCCAGTCACAAAAAACTGGACAGGCTCAGAGGAGTGGGTTGAATGATGCTGGCCATCAGACTGAGGACATTTTGTGCCAGAAAAGAAGTCATATGGGGGAGAGCTCTGGATTGAAAATGAATACTGTAACAAAAGCTGTTTTTTTATTGTATCTTTTGAAAAAAACAAAACAAAACCAAATAACAGACTTTCATTGTTGGGGTTAACACATTTTAAAGTAGTGTGCATGTAGAGTTTCTCTGTGTTGTCTCAATCAGGGCAAGAATGTCGATTTTTCTGGAAGCCCCTTGAGTCTCAGACCTTCACACAGTTTTGAAGGTTGCAGTGCTAGCGCAGCACATAGCTGATCATTAGGCAAATCTCAAAACACCATAGCTCAACATACTAATACAATACAGTCAGCATTTAGTGTGTGCAGTTTAACATAATATACATATTGTATAAGGTACAGTACATTGCTAAGAACAGAACAGAACGTAATATGAAGTTTTTGTAATGTACAGCGCTCTATTGGCGCTTTATAAATGATACAATAGTATGGCATAAATGTATGTATGGGTATGTAATGTGAATGTTAGTTACCTTAGATTGTATGCTCCTTGAGGGCAGGGACTGATGGGAATGTACAATATATATGCTGCATAAATTGACTGCGTTATATAAGTACCTTTAATCAATAAAGGCCACAAATATGTGTCCATCATAACTGCTAGCAAATCACAATACACACTCTCCATCTACCAGCCAAGATGTTAACAGTTCAAGCAACATTACATCATTCTTCAAGAAAAAGGTCTGCAGTTGGATTTTTCAACCAGCACACACATACTAGGACCAATTTAGGCAAGGCCAATTAACCTACCAGAATGCCTTGGGAGGAACCCAGAGGAAACCCATATAAGCACAGGGAGGAAATGCAAACTCTATGCAGTTATTGTCCTGGTCGACATTTAAACCAAGGACCCCAGTGCTGCAAGGCATAAGTAATAGCCACTAAGCAATTGTGCTTCTCTGAAGAGACATTTCAGAGGGCAAAGTATGGCATTATCTTGGATTAAAGCCAAACACCAGGAAAACTGCTCAATACACAGTAATAAATATCTGAAAATTGTGGTAAATGCCAAAGGTGTTGTGATTCTGTTTAGCAAGCCTTGTGATCCACGTCCCCCTAACAGGCTGCACATCTGGGACCTGGAACTTGCTACAAACTACATAGCACATTGTGATCTTCTGAGTACTCACCCCAGCCTGTGACTAGAAAATAAAGGAGCAGCAGGATACCAATAAGGTCATCTCTCATCTCCTCACCCAGTATCCGCGAACACAGAGAGCAGCCCTCAAAGGCTCAGAGTGTTAATTAGCCTTCTATCTCCCATTCTGAGACCTGCAGTGCAGAGGATTCCAGGAGGCTAATATGAAGACAGATTCAGATATTTATGCTAGTTATATGCAAAAAATATATAAGTGGATTAACTGGTGCTAATATCTGATAGGATTAATGCCTAGTACACACGATGAGAAAATTGGACAAAAAATATCGCTTTGGAGCAATCGTCTCATAATTTGATTGTTAGTACACAGCTTTTCAGAGCCAATCACAACAGTCCCTATGACATTAACTAAAGGTACAAGCACAAACATTTCTCTCGTAGGATACCAGAATGAACGATTTTTGTTTAATCAGCACAGTATTTGTCTGCAAAAAATCAAGTGATCAATACCGTGAATGATCGGAAGCAAAAGAATACATTACAATACATTATATCACTTCCAAAGTTGTATTCTGTCTTATGAGACTTTTTGTAACTTTAGTAACCTATTTGTTTTCGATATGAGACTAGAAAGGAAAAAAATTTACAAAACGGACTATAATTCGTCCGATATTCTCATCATGTACCAGACTTAAGGCTTTAATAATGTTTCAGGGTAGTACAGAGAATGACAATCTAGGTATTTAAGGAAAAGACTATACACTGGCAAAAATTGTCACATAAATATTAGATGTGAAGTTCACTGGAAATGACAGAAAATGTGTATTCCCTGACAGCTGATCAGTGATGGCAGCGTGGTGTATGCAGAAGCTCTGTGGGATCATGTCACTATGGATGAGCAGGAGCTCGGCTTCAAAGCTGGAAGTGTCATTGAAGTGATGGATGCCACAAACAAGGAGTGGTGGTGGGGGAGGATCCTAGACAGTGAAGGATGGTTCCCTGCAAGCTTTGTCAGAGTGAGTATTGAATCTGATCCATGCCATGATAAGGAATGATCACTAGATGAAACTTCTGGTACATTATTAATAGAAAATATCAATCATGCCTATAGAAGAGGCCACCTCCTTGCCTTTATAATGAAACATCCATGTGTCATACATGATATATCTTCGCATTAGGAGTCAGGATCCATCTTAAAGAAGAAAAAAAATCTATTCAATAGATCGGTAGTCTGAAAACTTCACAGCCTGACAGGGAAGGAGTGACATCACAGACATGAAACTATCACTGAATAATTGGCACCCCCTGTAGCCAAGTTGAAAATAGAGTAAGTGGAAGAAGAAGGCTCGAAGTGATCCATCAGCAGGCAAAGGGATGGCTACAGTCTTCTGGGATTCCAAGGGTAGACAGAAGCAATGCAGAAGACTTGATGGAATGCTTTGAGCCTTCTTCCACTTTCTCCATTTTCAACTTGATGCCAACTGTTTGCAAAGAGCACATGAAACCCATATAGCGCACATTCGCCATTTTCAGTGCAAAGATCTGGAAAAGTGTGGTCACTCCTTCTGTGTCAGCCTGTCAATTTTTCAGACTATATGCTGTATATAGTAAATCACTGTATTACCAACAATATTTAATGATGGCACTGGAAGCATGGACAGTATGCTATCAAACATGAAAATATCAGTCATGCCTGTACAAGAGCCATCTCCTCATCTCTATAATGAAACATCCATGTGTCATATTAGATGTTAGTACTTGCCAAGTTTAATATCCCAGATATGAAAATATCAGTCATGCCTGAAGAAAGGCTTTTTCCTCACCTCTGTAATGACAGGTGTCATACATGACATGACTTCCCATTAAGGGTCAAGGTCCACTTTGGCACCTAGGTACATTCATGTCTGTAGTTTGTTTTCTTGATTATTTTGCAACATTACAACAATCCAGAATTTGTGACATAATATTATGGTACAATTTTACACTACACATTTCTGTTAGAATGGCAAGTATCCTTTAAAGCAGGGGTCTCCACATTTTCTAAACAAAGGGCCAGATAACCATCCTCCAAACTTTAGGGAGGCCGGACTGTGGCCAAAGGGAGTAGGAAATATCCTGGTGTCACTAAACAATGCCCCATTATTGGTATTAGGGGAAGTAATAGTGCCCCATTGTTGGTATCAGTGGGAGGAATAGTGCCTCATTATTGGTGTCAGTGGGAGGAATAGTGTCCCATTGTTGGTGTCAGTGAGAGGAATAGTGTCCCATTGTTGGTGTCAGTGGGAGGACTAGTGCCCCATCATTGGTGTCAGTGGGAGGAATAGTGTCCCATCATTGGTGTAGTGGGAGGAATAGTGCCCCATCGTTTGTATCAGTGGGAGTAATAGTGCCCCATCATTGGTGTCAGTGGGAGGAGTAGTGCCCCATCATGCTATCAATGAAAGTAATGTGCCCCATTGTTGGTATCAGTGTGAGGAATTGCGCCATATCGGTATCAATGGGAGGAATAGTATCCCATAGTTGGTGTCAGTGGTAGGGATCGTTGTTGGTGTCAGTGAGAGGACTACTGCCCTATTGATGTGTCAGTGGGAGGACTAGTGTCCCATCATTGGTGTCAGTGGGAGGAATAGTGCCCCATCGTTGGTATCAGTGGGAGTAATAGTGCCCATCATTGGTGTCAGTGGGAGGAATAGGGCCCTATTGTTGGTGTCAGTGGGAGGAAAAGGGCTCTATTGTTGGTGTCAGTGGGAGGACTAGTCCCCCATCATTAGTGTCAGTGGCAGGAATAGTGCCCCATCATTAGTGTCAGTGGGAGGAATAGTGCCCCATCGTTGGTATCAGTAGGAGTAATAGTGCCCTGTCATTGGTGTCAGTGGGAGGAATAGTGCCCCATTGTTGGTATCAGTGGGAGTAATAGTGCCCCGTCACTGGTGTCAGTGGGGGAATAGTGCCCCATCATTGGTGTCAGTGGGAGGAATAGTGCCCCATCATTGGTGTATCAGTGGGAGGAATAGTGCCTCATCGTTGGTATCAGTGAAAGTAATAGGGCCCCATCGTTGGTATCAGTGAAAGTAATAGGGCCCCATTGTTGGTATCGATGTGAGGAATTGTGCTGTATCATTGGTATCAATGGAGGAATAGTATCCCATAGTTGGCATCAGTGCTAAGAATAGTCGTTGGTGTCAGTGAGAGGACTAATGCCCTATTGTTGGTTTCAGTAGGGGGAAAAAATGCCTCAAGGGCGGGATAAAAGCACACAAAGGGCCACATCTGCCCCCAGGTCGCAGTTTGGAGACAACTGCTTTAAAGCATTCTTTCCCAAGTATATCTATGTCTAAGAATAGTCACTTCTATATCTCACTGCAAATACTGTGCAATACTGTACATTCTACTGCATACAGTGCCATCTAGTGACCAAAGTTTGCATAGCTTAGTTCCATTTCATTTCTGCATAGCCTAACATAAGGAGAATGACCCAGTGCTGTCTCTGAGTTATCAAATATTGCCCGTTTTTTACACAGCTCCGTGTAAACCAGGATGAACCGCTAGATGAATATTCCTGCAAACCTGGAGACAAACAACAGGATTCCAGGAATGTCTTAAGACGTCACGGTTTTGGCCCAACAAACAAGGACCAAATGAGAACCAATGTGATAAACGAGATCTTGAACACCGAGAAGGACTACATAAAGCACCTGAAGGACATCTGTGAGGTAAATTACAACCCCTAATTCACTGTTTAACCGCTTGCCCTCCAGAGGATTTACCCCCCTTCCTGACCAGGCCATTTTTTGCGATACGGCTCTGCGTTACTTTAACTGACAATTGCGCGGTCGTACAATGCTGCACCCAAATGAAATTTACATACTCCCCCCCCCCCACAAATAGAGCTTTCTTTTGGTGGTATTTGATGGCCAGTGCATTTTTTATTTTTTTGCTCTATAAACAAAAAAAACACAGTATTTTTTTGACTTTTTGCTATAAAACATGTCCAGTAAATAAAATTCAAAAAATAAAATTTTGTCATAAATTTAGTCCAAAATGTATTCTGCTAACATGTCTTTGCTAAAAAAAAATCCCAATATGTGTAAATTAATTGGTTTACGTGAAAGTTATAGTGTCTACAAATGGCGGTATATATATTGGAATACTTTTATATATAGTAGTAATGGCGGCGACCAGCGACTTATAGCGGGACTGCGGGAGCGCGGCGGGCACTCTGACACTTGGTGGGAACTGACTAACTGCCACCCCCGGTGACACTAATACAGTGATCAGTGCTAATAAAAAGCACTGACACTGTACTAATGGCAAAGGGAAGGAAGGGGTTAACATCTGGGGCGATCAAACGGGTTAACTGTGTGCTGTTTTGTGGTTTACTGTGTAAGCATGCTGCTATGCAGAGCAATACAAAGCAGCATGCTGGAGCTGACAAGGGAGAGATCTGTATTGTTTACATACAGACCTCTCCCCCGTCAGTGTTCCTCGGCGATCACCGGGTGCCGGTGGGGAATGTCCGCCCGCAAACCGGTGATCAACAGCTGTAGCCGCCAATGACAACCCAGAAATACAAAATCACATATATATACATGAGTTTGCACAGCCCTGCCACCCTGTAGCACTAGTTCTGCTATAGCGCAGTCATGAAGTGGTTAAAGAAGACCTGTCCTGAGATAATACACATTATTGTTCATTCTGTTTTCATGGCATACTGGAAGATGTACATATCAGTTGTCAAAGTGCTCTAATGCCACTGGCAAAAAATGCCATCGGTGCTAGAATGATAATGCCAAATATTACCACAATGATTACTAATTAATACTAGAGTAACAAAACCTTGGAATTCCACATTGATCATTGTTCATAAATGATAAATAAAGTATTACTGAAATCCAGCCTGCCCCTCTAGCCAGCCCCACACAGGCCTGTACAGCGGTAAACATGAGACTATATTATTATTATTATGCAGGATTTATATAGCGCCAACAGTTTGCTCAGCACTTTACAATATAAAGGGAGACAATACAGCATCAATGCAGTTCAATACAAGAGGGATAAGAGGGCCCTACTCCTTGGAGCTTACAATCTAAGAGGGAGGGGCTAGTGGTACAAAAGGTAATAACTGGGGTGATGGACTGGTAGGAGGAATAGAAGATTCCATTATTAACTGAGGGCAGGATAGGCTTCCCTGAAGAGATAGGTTTTCAGAGATCGCCTAAAAGTGAACAGAGTAGGCAATAGTCTGATAAATTGGGGTAGAGAGTTCCAGAGGTTTGGGGAAGCTCTGGAGAAGTCCATATATCTATATAATTAATGTAGGTGCATACATATATACTAAAAAGGTAAGTCATTCTCCTCCGCTCAGATGTACAATGGGACATTTAGCTGCAGCAGTCATGAGCAGGCCATTTGGTGTGATGCTGCAACATTTTGAAATACCAAGTACTGAACACACGTGAGAAGATGGTAATGGTCACTGACTGCAGACTCCTGTCAAATGTACCAGTATTCATTGAATGATTGTCTTCTTGTTGGTAAAGGGTTTACATCAAGCAGTGCCGTAAAAGAGCAGACATGTTCACAGAGGAGCAGCTGTGGACTATTTTTGGGAACATTGAAGACATCTACAAGTTCCAGAAGAAATTTTTGAAGACTCTGGAAAAGCGAATTAACAAGGAAGCTCCACATTTGAGTGAGATTGGTTCCTGCTTTCTGCAGTATGTAAGTTCTCGAGTCATTTCCCTCACTGTGTCATTATTGGAAATCTGCATTTAACAAATCTTCCCCTAGCCATTACATTATAGATACAAGACGGAAGAATTTTGCCATTATTTTTCTTCTAGTTCTAATATTTATAAATCATTTTTTAACTCTATATACAATTTATAGAATTGGTTTCATTTTGACATGTCTTTACATGTAAACATTTCTCATCTTTACATGTCTGTTATTAGTACATCATGTAAATGTATTTTGTTTTCTGTGTACTTATTTTTTTATTTTTTTTAAGCTCCTAGAAGCTAAATAGTGTCATCCTATGTGTTCATGCACACTATATTAGGCTAGTAGAATTTTTCAAGCTTCAGCATTTAGGAGCAGAAAAAAAAAGTTTTTGTAGGGTTTTTGGGAGCATTTTTCCAGCAGAAATGCTCCTTAATTCTCCTAAATACTACTTAAACACTCCTAACAGCTTTTATCTAGCTTTTTTTTTCTACCTGTACTGTATAAACGCTTCTAAACACTACTAAAATGTTACCATAAGCTGGCACAAAAATGCTATTTATTCAGCTTTTCTTGAACTTATAAAAAAACGCTAGTGTTCATGGAGCGATATATGAGATTTATGTGCTGTATATTTGACTGGTGGTTGCTACAAATATGTGTTACTTTGTGGCATTTTTCTGATATTCGTGCTTTTTTCAATGTCAGCAAACAGATTTTCAGATCTACTCAGAGTACTGCAACAATCATCCGAACGCCTGCACAGAACTTTCAAAACTTTGTAAAGTGAAGAAGTATGGCTATTTCTTCGAGACATGCCGCTTAGTACAGAAGATGATAGATATATCACTGGATGGATTCTTACTGACACCAGTGCAGAAAATCTGCAAATATCCTTTACAGCTGGCTGAGCTTCTCAAATATACCAACCCCCAGCACAGGTATGTCCAGAGTAATTCATGTGACACAATTTTTATTACCTATATCACACACATTTATTTAAATTGAATGTCCCATTTCTTTTGGCAACCAGGCCACTTGACCAATGTCTATGACTGCTGCATTTTAACCTCTTGCCGTCCACCTGCTGTTTATAAACGGCAGGGCGGTGGCAGTCCAGGGGCCGGTTGCCGTTCCTAAACGGCACCCACCTTTTCTAGCTGTGCGCGCTCCCTGGGAGCGCGCACCACCACGATCCGGTGCCCACTGTGTCCTCCGGACACAGTGAAACACCGATCGTCGGACGGGACCTCTGTACGAGGTCCCGATCATGTGATCACTGATTGGCGAATCAGTGATCACATGCAAAGTAGTAAGCAAGATGTCACTTGTGACATCATTGCTTACTACGTGTGAAATCTGTGAATGATCACAGAGGTCACATGGTACAAGGCTTTTCACAACAGCCTTGTACCATGTGACAAGCTGTGACCAATCACAGCTCACTCAGTACTTCTCAATGACTGCAAGAATGCAGACAGAGAGAGAGAAATGATTGCTTTTACATCCTATATGGGTGTAAAAGCAATCACTGTAAAAAAAAAAAAAAAAAAAAAATCTTTATCACCCCCCACAAGTAGTACAGTGTCACCATGGTGGCACTGTACTGCTAGGGTGCAGTATGTAAAAAAAAAAATACAAATAAAAAATAATATAAAAAAAATAAAAATGTAAAAAAAAATGTTTAAAAATTATAATTGTTGGTTATAAACTAATTTGGATTTTTTTTTTTACTAAAAAAATAACGGAATAAATTTTGGCCAAGATTTATGATGAAATATTTTTTATTATGCAAAATTTTATTAAAAAAAACACTTTTTTTTTCAAAATTTTTGGACTTTTTCATTTACATAGTAAAAAAAAATTAAAATCCCAGTGGTGAATAAATACCACCAAAATAAAGCTTTATCTGTCTCAAAAAAATGGTAAAAAATTCATATGGGTACAGTATTGCATGACCGCGCAATTGTCATTCAAAGTGTGATAGCGCTGAAAGCTGAAAATTGGCCTGGGCAGGAAGGGGGTAAAAGTGTCCGGACAGGAAGTGGTTAATCCTGAAACTTTCATAAAATACTGTTAAGTCTTGAGTAAAGATGATGGGGACAGGCTAAGTACTTACCTCTATGGCACATTGTGAAGCTGTTGGTCATTGAACCCACTCCTGGCTTCTCTGCTGTTGTAAGTGTCTGGGTATTGGACAATTCCTCATCCCAATCAGTTGGGGTTTACATATAGAACATACAAGTGTGCAATAAAGACTGACATGGTCAGAAAAACATCACAGTGTTTACCCTTTATAATAGACACCAAAGGTAATTTTCATTTTAATATTGCAGAGATAAGTCTGTCCCAGTTTACCCTCCACCCTTCAATATGAAAACTGTAGAGCAAGCATCACTAAATGGTGGACCGCGGTCTGAATACGGACCGGGTGACAGTCCTGTCCGGACCATGGCTACACCACTTAGCAGCCTGAGTGGACTCCTCTCCTCCCGCCACTGCAGCTGTTAGAAATCAGGAGGAATGGCAGGGTGGACTCCTGTTCTGTATGTACTCGCCTGCCAACGCTGTAGTGACTGCTGCTGTTAAAGTCACAGCAGGGAAGGGGGCGGGAGGAATGAAAGGAAGGACTCTTCTTCTGAATGTACTGCCTTGCTGCCACCGCCACTGAACTCAGAGCAGGGAGGAGGCACTGCAGGTCTACAGGGGGGGCAGGGGAGGGGAACCAACCTTTCATATTAACAATCGGGTTACTTGCCTTTTAATAAGCAGAGTTGGGCAGCTCACACCCTCAGTGGAGACCTTCAGTGGCTCCTGCCCTCATCCCTGCTCTGAGTTCAGCGGTGGCAGCAGCAAGTCAGTACATGCAGAAGAGGAGTCCTTCCTTCAATTCCTGCTACCCGCTTCCCTGCTGTGACTTCAACAGCAGAGGTGATGATGGTGGCGGCAGGCGAGTACACGCAGAACAGGTCCACCCTGCCATTCCTCCTGCCCTCCACAGTTCTGAATTAAGGTAGGGGGAAGATTATGGGTGGGAGGGGGTTGTGATGTCATATGGGGGATCTGTGATTTGGGGGGGCTGTGAGAGGGGAACTGTGATATGGAGGAGCTGTTATGTGGGGTGCTGTGAAAGGGGGGAATCTGTGATATGGGGAGCTGTGATATGGGGGACTGTGAAGTGAGACAGCCCCCATATCTTCCCAGCTATGATATGGGGGCTGTGAAGTGAGAGGAGGGAGCTATGATATGGGAGCTGTGAAGTGAGAGGGGTGCTGTGGAATGGGGGGCTTTGAGGGTGGAGCTGTGATATGGAGGGCTGTGAAGTGAGGGAGGGGAAGCTGTGATATGGGGGGGCTGTGAAGTGAGGGTGGGGGGAGCTGTGAAATGGGGGGCTGTGATAGAGGGAAGCTGTGATGTGAAAGAGGGGAGCTGTAATACTGGGGGGGGCTGTGATGTGAGAAGAAGAGCTTTGATATGGGGGAACTTTGATGTTAGAGGGGGAGCTGTGATATGGGGGGCTGTGATGTGAGAGGAGGGAGCTGTGATATGAGGGGTCTGTTATGTCAGGAGGGGGGAAACTGTGATGTGGGGAGTTGTGATTGCATGGGGGACTGTGATTGTGATGTGAAGGGGGGCTGTGATATAATCAGGGCTATAATGTTGGGGGGCTCTGACGTGAAAGGGAGTTGTGATGTACGGGGGCTGTGATGGGAAAGGGGGGACTGAGGACAATAATTAGGGGCTGTGAATGTGAAAGGCCTGAGTAATAGAAGAAAAATGAAATTCGGATCTCTGCAGAAAGAAAATGTTACTAACCGGACCTCTGTGAATTTTAATTCAGTACCCCTCCTGTAGAGGATTCTTTTCGGAGAGCATGTCTCATTGCTGAATTTGTGCTTAATATGGTACATTCCAATATCAGTAAGAACTTATGTCAGTATACAGTATATCTTTTGAACATATTAACCAGCTTAGTGTTTTTTTAAAGTGATACACTGTAGTTTAGTTTCAGTTTGTAGCTAAAAAGGATTTTTGTAGCTTCCAAAATTTTTTTTCTTAATTTTGTTGCCTTCATCCTCTTAGGGTGATACAAAATTACCCCATAAGTAGTGTGGCAGGGTATCTTTTTCATCTCCAGATCTGGTTCTTGTTGTATAGTGGGGTAAAATATATGTTGAGTGCCAGTCACTTTATTATTATAATACAGTATTTATATAGCGCCGACAGTTTGCTCATTAAGGTGGGAGACAATTCACGAGGGGTTCGAGGGCCCTGCTCCTAGGAGCTTACAATCTAGGAGGGACGGGATAGTGGTACCGGAGGAAATAGCTGTGCTGTGGGGATGAAGTGGTAGAAAGAGTGGAGGAGTTCAGTAATTAGCTGAGGGCGGTGTAGGCTTCCCTGAATGGATAGCTTTTCAGAGTGCGCCTAAAGGTGAGCAGAGTAGGTGATAGTCTGATGGATTGGGGTTGGGAGTTCCAGAGGATGGGGGAAGCCCTGGAGAAGTCCTGGAGACGGGCATGGGAGGAGGAAACCAGGGAGCTTGAGAGTAGGAGGTCTTGTGAGGAGCGGAGAGTAAGTTTTGGGTGGTACTTGGAGACAAGATCGGTGATGTAATTTGGGGGCAGTATTATGAACAGCTTTGTACGTCAGTGTTAGCGTTTTGAATTTTATCCGTTGGGCAATTGGAAGCCAGTGGAGGGATTGGCAGAGGGGGGTGGCAGATATGGAGCAGTTAGTAAGGTGGATGAGTCTGGCCACAGCATTCAAGATGGACTGAAGCGGGGATAGCCTGCGGTGAGGTAAGCCGGTTTTTATTGAAAAACTCTATTCTAGAAGAGAGAGTTTAGGGATGCAGGATATTCAAAAATAGTACAGAACTAGGGCAGTTATTCTAAAAGTAGCAGTAGTAGTAGACTATTTAAGAGCAGCTTCTTAGCAATTACCATCCCCGTTAGACCATCAAGAAAGCGTGATGACCCAGTGAAGGCTTGTTTGCACCAGCAGTAGCCCCCTGAAGAGCAATCCATGACGATCACTTTTCTGAGAGCATTTGACAGGTGGGGATGAGGTGTAATGTTGGCACCTCACTGACTATTTTAACCCCTAAAAGCCTGCACCACTCCTGTGTAACTATGTGCATTACACATGGCTGTTGAGGGGGATAATTTGTGTTGCAACATGTGCATACTCTCTGTATGGCTGCCTTTGCAGCTTAGGGGCTGGTTGGCTCAACTGCCTGTTTTCACTGCTATTGTGCTTCACTGTTCCTCCTCACAATGCAAGTCTATGGGGTTGATTTACTAAAGGCACATAGACTGTGCACTTTGCAAAGTGCAATAGCACTCTGCAAGTGCTGTTGCTCCAGAGCTTAGTAAAGGAAGTAAAGCTTCCCTCTGCCAAGAATACCCAATCACATGCAAGGAAAATAAGAAAAAAAACAGCTTTGCTTGCACATGATTGGATTGTGGAAGTCAGCAGAGCTTCTGCTCATTTACTAAGCTCTGGAGCAACTGCACTTGCAGAGTGCTATTGCACTTTGCAAAGTGCACAGTCTAATTGCCTTTAGTAAATCAACCCCTATGAGTTGACCAAACCATTGAAAGCAATGGTGACCCTTCCCTGTGTGGTTCACATTCCATTTAAACAGTCATCAAGCAGAGAGCGAAATTATTATAAATTGATTGATAATACTTTTTTTTTCATGTAGGGATTTTGCAGATGTGGAAGCAGCACTGAATGCCATGAAAAATGTGGCCAAACTGATCAATGAGCGAAAGAGGAGGCTAGAAAACATTGATAAGATAGCTCACTGGCAAAGTTCTATAGAAGACTGGGAGGTAAGTCTCCTTTCACTATTATTATACCAACTCACTCAGGAGACCTGTGATCTTGGGGCTAATTTACTAAAACTAGAGAGTGCAAAATCTGGTGCAGCAGTGCATGGTAGCCAATCAGCTTCTAATTTCAGCTTGTTCAATTCAGCTTTGACAAAAAAAAACTGGAAGCTGATTGGTTACTATGCACAGCTGCACCAGATTTAGCACTCTCCAGTGTTAGTAAAGCCAGGTATACACAGTAAGAAAATCATACAAAAAATGTTGTTGATCAAATGATCGGCCAATTTTCTCTTTGTTGATGAGCAGGATGTTATAACCGATAACGATATTGTGAATGAAAAAATCCGGTTGAACAACAGTGAAAAATGTTGTTTAGCATGCGAACGACCGATTCTCTACACGGTGGTATGACGGTCGTCCAAAAAAAATATATCAAGCTCTATCACACATGAGCAGAAACAGAAAATGACCCAAATGTTTATGTCCAAGGATCCATAAATGCAATTTATTCTGATTAATTCCTAGGATTTATGTTGAATTGCTCGTTCTGGGTGGAAGGGCGTGACTACAAGGTCACACACACACTGCATCACTTCCACTTGTACGGAAGATGTCAACACTATGTATTGCTTGACAAACTATTTTTTTCAATTGGTTAATGTGGGTCACGATTTTGACCCACAAACGAACGCCGATTGGTCGTCGGATCACCGATCGGTCGATTTTCTTACCATGTATTCCTGTCGTAAATCTCCCCCCTTGAGTCTTATCTCTAGTACACCCAATGAGAAAATCAGATGAAAATACCAAATTCAGAACAATTGTCCGATACTCTGATCATTAGTAGACAGCTTTTGAGAGCCAACATTATCATGAAAACAAAACATGAAAACAATCCTCAAGGAAAAAGGGCAACGAAAACAATCTTCGTATGCAACAAAAATGCTCCTAAATACGAAAAAAAAACATGGTTTTCAGGACGTGAGGAGAGCAAATCCACGTGCTGGGACCAATGCACAATATGCTTCGACACTCTGAACGGGTATAGCCAAAGGTGTGGCAGAGGGGTCACATGTATATGACATCACCTGATTACACACCATGTGCTATGCATATGGGAAGTTGTACAAGCATTTTTCTATGTTTAGTAGCACATTCATTTTCAATGTGAGAGTAGCATGCAAAAAAACATGAAACCATATTCAAAGTCCAAACCCTTTAAAATTATCACCACCCTTTAAAATTTCAGGCACAAAAATTATGCAATCCCGAGGCCCCTTCAAATGGACAGTCCCGAGGCACCCTTGAAAATTATGGAGGCAGTCCCCCGAGGTTCAAAATTATGGACAGTCCCGAGGTAGCCAAAAAATTATTGACAGTCTTGAGGCACCCTTTAAAATTATGGACAGTCCCAAGGCACCCTTGAAAATTATGGACAGTCCAAAGGCACCCTTGAAAATTATGGACAGTCCCGACATACCCTTTAAAATTATGGACAGTCCCGAGGTACCCTTTAAAATTATGGACAGTCTCGCGGTACCCTTTAAAATTATGGACAGTCTTGAGTCACCCCATTCTAAAATGGGGTGCCTCAAGACTGTCCATAATTTTAAAAGGTCACCCCATTCTACATTGTGAAAAACTATTTTAATAGTTTTATATAACGCAGCAACATCCACACATGTAGGACACCCAACAGTAGAGGGGATTTATTCTTCCAAAGCAAACACACTTTTGCACCCTGGTACTGACTAGTATTCCAGTTTTTCTCTTCTCCCTAACTGAACTAATGTGACTCCAGCACTGATGGAGAAGGGCAGGGGAGGATTAAACTAGGATGCTGTGCAGGAAGCTAACATCCTCCTTATCAACTGATGATATCATTGGTTGTCAGGACGCTGTCGGCTAGAAGGTTGTTATGGTGCAAAATGAAAACCTGTGGCTTTGTGTAACTAGAAAGCCGGCTTGTTCCACCCGCTGGCTTGTACACAAGTTTTGGACAATTATTAGACATTTTGCAAAGGCACCCCTTAAGAAACCTCAAGGCACCCCAAGTTACCTGGGCACCCTGGTTCAGAAAGGCTGGTCTAGACTATCACTACAAAAGCTGCTATAGAAATCATATTGAGAACTCTCATTTCCCTATGCACACCTAATTATGAAACCCTATTTTCTATAGGCTACATTGCTTTATTATCAATCGTATTACATAATCGCATAGATGTAAAATAATGCATACCTTATATCCAGAATTGCGATTGCACAATGCCATTTAACAATTAAGAAGGTGCAAAGAAAAGCAACCCGTCACCTTCAATTTTCCTTAATAAATAATAAATCAACAAAATGTACACAAAACACAGAAAAGTCTCTTTAGGATCTACTTTAAAGGTTATAATAAAAGCTGAGGTCTCAGTTGTGTCAACCGCAATCAAGGTTCCCTTTTAAGTGTGGCTCCTCTAAGTGTAACTGTTGACCTCTATCACTTCCATATACAAAGTGCAAGAAGGTTATGTTCAGAGCTCTGTATGTCTTGTGATCAAAGATCATCTATTCCTCCATCTGTTATAAGGGTGAAGACATTTTGACAAGAAGTTCGGAACTCATCCACTCCGGTGAATTAACAAAGATCTCACAGCTGCAATCAAAGGGGCAACAGCGGATATTTTTTCTTTTTGATCATCAGATTGTCTACTGCAAAAAGGTATCTTATAAGTAATCTTTTAATTTTATTGTAAAGTTCTCGAACAGAAAACAATGGAACTTTTATACTTACATACAGTATATAGAGTTACTGGTATATTTTAGGACTTAAGTGAGCTGCTCTTGCCACTACTTTTAAACATCTAGTATTACAGCTGAACTCCAGGATAAGCAAATATTGTCTCAATACTGTATAAGAGTCATGTGTATTTTTAGTTGATTCCTTGTGTATTTCTTCAAGATCTGTGCAGTAATCTAGTTTGAAACATTTCCTCTGTGCAGAAACTTCCTGTAATGAAGACTGGTCACTGATGTTCTCTCTCCTTGTGCAATGTGACTGGTCTTGTCTCCACCCCCTCCTATGGTTTTCTATAGACAGCCTATAGTGGATGGAACCTGCTGGGTCCCTCTCACAGCTCTGCTTTCTGCAGTGGCTATGTATAGCGTTGTGATGATTTATTTATTTGAGGTACTTATATAGCGCTGTCAGTTTACATAGCGCTTTACACATATATATATTGTACATTCACATCAGTCCCTAACCCTCAAGGGGTGTACAATCTAAGGTCCCTAACTTACATTCATACATCTACATACTAGGGCCAATTTAGACAGGATCCAATTAACCTACCAGCATGTCTTTGGAGTGTGGGAGGAAACCAGAGTACTTGAAGAAAACCCATGCAGGCACAGGGAGAACATGCAAACTCTAGGCAGGTAGTGCCATGTCTGGGATTTGAACCAACGACCCTAGTACTGCCAGGTAGAAGTGCTAACCATTTAGCCACTCTGCTATCTGCAGTTATAAAGATAATTGATGCACACAAAGTTGATTTATATCCTTTCTGGTTATTGAGGAATATATTTTAATTGAAAAATTGTGTCTGGAGTAATGATTCAGTACCACTGTAGCAAACTCCCTTACAAAATCAATAGATACTTCTAGATATGCCGTCAAAAGATGTGTAGCGTCTACACAGTTTACAAGCCAGTAAATGTTATTTTTATTTACATACGTGCAAATAATTATCCTTTTAGGACATTCTTTGAGACGGGACATTTTATAGTTACAGTACAAAGGAAAGCATATTCAACACATGGATCTGAGATATCACATATTCAAATCTCTATCAAAGGAACTGTTTTATTAATGTGTATAGAGGATGGTAATTATTTCTTCTTAAAGATAAGGACTTTAATTACAAAGGAAAGATCTGGATGAAAAGTTATTAATGTGCATGGTTAAGGACTTTAAACTGCATTTAAGAGTAAAGTCTCTGATGAGGTTCACCTTCTCCTGGCAAAAAAACCTGAACAGAAGCAGCGCTGGCTGCAGGCTTTTGAAGAAGAGAGAAAGCAAGTGCTTCAAGATGAGCAAACAGGTAATATGTAATATGATTGAAGAACACTGGGGATTGGGGCTTGCTACTTCTGTACCAGGGGCACTCAGAGAGTACATTATCTCTTCCCATGCTTGCCTACAGCACTTCTCCAGAGCGCCTCCCTTCCTCTGGAACTCCTTAACCCAATTTGTCTAGCTATCTCCTACTCTGTCCACCTTTAGACAATTACTGAAAACTCATCTCTCCAGGGAAACCTAAGACTTCATGTACACGAGTCTACCCTGTCTGCCGACCGCGGGAAAACGCAATTAGTGGCAAAAACGCGGTACCGCAGTTGCCACGTTTTGCGTTTCCCCACAAAACATTCCTAGAGGGAGGTTTAACCTCACGGCAGCTCCCAAACTCTGCTAAAAGCCTATGTGTACATGGACACATATGCTTTTATGGAGGTGAGTTTAGGAGCTTTGGCGAAAAAAAAAATGCCCCAAGCTCCTAAACTCGAGCTTAGGAGCTGCTTGTGTACATGAAGCCTACACCTCCACCAAAAAAATTGTACTTCCACTTTCTCAATCAGCTCATACCTCACCGTTATCACTTTTTGTATCACCTCCAAGACTGTAAGCACTTTCAAGCAGGGCCCCTCTAACCCTGTTGTCATGAATTGTATTGTAACTGTACTGTCTCCCTTTTTATTGTAAAGTATTGGGCAAACTGTTGACACTTTATACATCCTGTAATTAATTATATAACGTGTCCCATGGATCTGCAGTAAAACACTGATGTCTGTATATGTCACTAGGTTTCAGCATCAGTGAAATTCAGCGGAAACAAGCAATGATTAATGCCCACAAACCGCGTCCTGCTGGAAAGCCAAAAGGTGAGTGTCCCCTGCAGTGTGTTTTGCATGCTAATGCCAAAAAATAAAAACAATTTTTAGATGATCAACTACATTAAAAAGTGTATATTAAGCCCAAACTTGTTTTAGTTTAGACTTATTTTAATAATGTTTAACAAAGGTATAAAAAGGTGAGGTATAGAGTATCCAGGGTACATACTGTACTAATGAACATAGCATAGCCCTTAAAGAGTAATGGTAAAAGATACATCGGTAGGCCACAGGGGTGGACTGACAACTCATGGGGCCACCGGGCAATAGGGGATCATGGGGCCCCTGTGTCCTTGCCCACACTCAAAAAAAACCTATAAAAAAGGTACCAGGGGCATTTCATGGGGCCCTCTACTGACCCGGGCCCTCGGGTAGTGCCCGAGTGCTCGAATGGTCAGTCTGCCCCTGCTAGGCCATCAACGTGCAGAACAATTTAGAGAAGAGAACACATCTATAAATATTGTCCATCAAATGTCTAAAAAAATTGACCAGATTAGACAAAACTTGTTTTTAGTTAACCACTTCGCCATCCTGAGGATTTACCCCCTTCCTGACCAGGCCATTTTTTGCGTTACGTTACTTTAACTGACAATTGCGCTGTTGTGCAATGCTGCAACCAAATGAAATTATGTCCTTTTTTTCCCACGAATTGAGCTTTCTTCTGGTGGTATTAGTAAAAGACCAACAATTTGGAGAAAAAAAACGATATTTTTGACTTTTTGCTATTAAACATGTCCAGTAAAAAAATTTAAAAATTCAAATTTCGTCATAAATTTATGCCAAAATGTATTCTGCTACATGTCTTTGCTAAAAAAAAATCCCAATACGCATAAATGAATTGGTTGACGTGAAAGTTATAGAGTTTACAAATGGATAGATACTGGGATTTTTTTTCTACTAGTAATGGCGCCGATCAGCAACTTTTAGCGGGACTGCAGTGTGCCCGAGCCAACAGGGAGGAAGACTGTTAGTCAGAGATGCTCAGTAATCACCGGGTGCTGACGGATAATTACCGGCTGGGCCCTTGTGATTGACAGCCATGGCTGTGAAGAGCAGCGCATGTAGGGCACATGCGCAGCTTGCGCGCACCCCCTCACCCGGAAATGCGAAATCACGTATATATACGTGATTTTGCACACCCCTGCCGCCCTGTAGCAGTATTTCTTCTTAATCTAGTAGGGAATGGTTAAAAAACTTGTTGGTTATTTCTTGCTGTCTGTGTCTAATTTCCCACTTTCTGTCTTGGAGATGCTAATACCATCTTTTAGAGTTGTCACCAGAAAAGACATCACACTAGTGACAGCTCCAATATTTTGTCCTTCGTCTTACTTTCCATTTCAGTGACCAGGACAAATAGAACAGAAAAGGTTTTGCCTTCATACGTGCATTTATAAAGTATTTAGACCTCCTTCACTTTTATCAATTTTGTTATATTGCAGGCTGATATTAGGGTTGTTCTGTGAAAACAGAGTTTTAGAAATGTTTGCAAATTTATGAAAAAGGAAAAAACTGAAATATCACATTGGCACAAGTATTCAGACCCTTTTGCAGGCCATAGATGGGGAGAAAAACTGCAGATTTTTCTTTTAAAAAAACGAAAAATCGGTTGTTCAAGTGGCCGACGTTACCATCAATGGTAAAAAAAAATTCGGCCGATTTTTCTACCTGTCTAGAGCCGGCAAAAAAAGTGTCCCTGCAGAGAGCTCTGCTATTTCTTTGACAGTTCTCTGACAGTTCCTTGACATTTATAGAAGTTGCAACAATGTATCTATTTGTTTCCATTTAGGATACAGATGTTTTTATTCGGAAACAAATAGATACAATGTTTCAACCGCTGTAAATGTCAAGGAACTGTCAGAAATTGCGGAGCTCTCTGCAGAGACACTTTTTGATGGACTGGAATTCTTCTTATTTTCATCCTACTTCTTCTTCTTCTTCTTCTTCTTCTTCTTCTTCTTCATCATCATCAAACATCCTCTTCTTCTTCTCTTCTTCTTCATCCTCATCTCCTCTCTTCTTCTTCTTCATCATCCTCATCCTCTTCTTCTTCATCATCTTCATCCTCATCCTCTTTCCTCATCCCCAACTTTTCTTCTTCAGCCCCATCCTCTTCTTCTTCATACTCTCCTCTTCTTCTTCTTCTTCTTCTTCTTCTTCATCCTCATCCTCTTCTTCTTCATCATCCTCCTCCTCCTTCTTTTTCTTCTTCTTCCTCATCGCATCCTCTTCTTCATCATCATCATCCTCTTCTTCTTCTTCTTCATCCTCATCCTCTTCTTCTTCTTCATCCTCATCTTCTTCTTCTTCATCCTCATCTTCTTCTTCTTTTTCTTCATCCTCATCCTCTTCTTCTTCTTCTTCATCCTCATCCTCTTCTTCTTCATCATCCTCCTCCTCCTCCCTCTTCTTCTTCATCCTCATCCTCTTCTTCTTCATCCTCATCCTCTTCTTCTTCTTCCTCTTCTTCATCCTCTTCTTCCTCATCCTCTTCTTCTTCTTCATCCTCATCCTCTTCTTCTTCATCATCATCCTCATCCTCTCTCATCTTCTCTTCCTTCTTCTCTTCATTCCTCATCTTCTTCTTCATCCTCTTCTTCATCCTCATCCTCTTCTTCTTCATCTTCATCCTCTTCTTCTTCTTCATCCTCTTCTTCTTCTTCATCCTCTTCTTCTTCTTCTTTTTCTTCTTTTTGTCTTCCTCTTGCAGGTCACTGCTCATGCGCAGATTTTTTATCGGTAAAAAATCGGCCGATTTGCCCACTAATTGCCGCGAAAATCGGGCGATCG